AAAATGAATGGGGTTTTGTGGCTATAATTTGTAATATAAAAGCCTACAGAAGGTTATGCGAATTTTGAAAGGTTTTTTTTCTAGCCATGTTACAGAATCCAAAGCAAACTATTCAGCCCTAAAAATCCTAAGGGATCAATAGAATTTACCAGAATGTTGTTTTCATATTGCATTTAAGAGTGTTCCTTGAAGGTAAGTTTCCTGCCTTGGCAAAAATTTACTGAAGGTGGGACACGCTACTTGTGATTTGGTCCTGCAGTTGCAGCGGTATGTGCACGTCTTGGTACATGAAAGTTTTCTTGACAATTCCCAGTAAGCCCCCACCCATGCAAACTTAACTGATTGCACAATTGGTGGTGTGAACTATGCATGTCTGTCTCCGGTCTGTAATGCATCCTGCTGTGATCTGGCCATCTTATTTTTCATATGAGTTCTTAAGGGAAAAAACCTTCCTTTTACTTCTGTATATTAAAAAAAAAAAGCCCCAAAATGTACAGCAAGTGCATTTGGGCCCAGTTAGGAATTTCAGGTGGTACCACAGGGTGAAGCACCCACCTGGCTGCCAGTTTACTAAAAGAAGCGGGGGGGAGGGCAGGGAAGAAAGCACAGAACCAGCTGTTTTTCAGTGTTGTAAGGAATTTATTTTGCTTCTTACCTTAGTTATCAATGAGCATGTTTAGTTGATCTGGTTTTGCTTTTGTTTCCAGCCTGTTTGCTTGCTCATTCTCATGCCCCAGGGCATTTTGGTTTTAGTCACTGCATGACATTGCTTAAATCAGAGTTGGAATGAAGTCACAAAGTGAACAGTAAGCCAGTCTTCTCCAAAATTCATGGGAGGAAACTGCACTGACAATTGTTAGCATAGATTGGTAAATGAATACTGACCAGTGTGAAATGAAATTCACCTTAACTTAGATCTCCATTTGTTTTGGTTTGTTTTGTTTTATCAAGTTAGTTTTTGTTAGTGTTGATTGCAAACATGTTATTCATGCCTCTATTCCCAAGTATCCGGCTTTTGAGTTTCGATGATTAAAGTGGTTTGGAAAGAATCCAGATCAGTTCATGCAGAGGCTATGCACGTTAGTAGAAAACTGCTAACAAAGGCTGAGCATGGATTTTTGTATGCAATTCTACCCTAAAAAAAGACTGTGTATATATATGTGCGCACTTGTGTGTACAATTACATCAATCTAAAATTTTCAGCAATTTATTGTCTTGCATAAATCTTTATGTTGTTTCACATCATCATATGTATTTTATAAAAAATTCCAGGCTTCCTTCTCCTTTAGGGAAACACATTTTAGTTTACTCTCTGATTAATGGTTTGCAAAGCATACACAGTTCTCTACTGTTTTGTAGCAGAGAATCTAAAAAATAAAATATTTTAAAATGTTTTCATGCATTCAACTTGTAACTGGTTTTAGAAAATAATAATTTAAATACTTGTCATTTTATCTAGTCATACCAGTCTGATAGCACTTTGAATTCATCCTCAGATAGATTAAGTATTCCAGTTGCTCAGAAAAGAAACTGTTTTTCTCTAGACGAGTTCTGTGCAATTAAATTACAACATATAAACTGTACCAATTTAGGATGTGGTGTTAATGTACTGAAATCAGTCTATTAGAGCAGTGTTTACTCTCTTCTGCTTCTTTCTTATGTTCTGCTTTTACATATGCTCTTATTCTAAGGATTCTACGCGTTTTGAGTAGTTCAAATGGTATGGTAACTATGATATATATATATGTGCTGTTTAGAGCAGCTCACTACAATGCAGCGATATCTTTGAAATGCTGTGTGAAGTGTTTTCACTTCGAAGTATTGTGCAATGCAGTATGTCTAGTTGCACAAACTGGTGACTGTTGATGTTTTACGGTGGCCCTGGCTGGCTATGCTGACCAGGACATAGGTTTTGTTTCAGCCCTGGTGAGGGACACTTGGCGTGCACCTCCCTACAGACACGGAGCTGACCTCTGTGGGCGTGCTCCATGTGGGCAGGATGGATGGCTGCATGGGTTTCATTGTGAGGTGTCAGTTAATAGTGTCAGCTCTGCAGGTAATGCCCTTTTGGTCAGAAATGCCAGAGGTCCTGCCACCTTGCCGTAGGAAGAGCACATTGTGCAGAGAATGAGGTGGTGTCGTATGTGCTATTATCAAGCTCGGAAGCTTTTCCAAGCTGCAAGGCACGCTTCCAAAGAGAGAATCGCTTCGTTTCCACTGATTTTTTTTTCTTGTGGGGCGTGGGCTGCAGCAGTGTTACTGTGTGTTTCGTGTGTGAGTACCTGACCCCGTTTGAGTCCAGGCTGTCCTTTGCAGTGAGGTGCAGGCACAACTCAAAAGAAGGGAGGATGCAGACCCAGTGTGTGGCGTCCCTCTTCCTGGGCCATATGGTCTCATCACCAGCACCTTGCATAACTCAGCACAGCCTGGTGTTTGAGTCAGACAAATCTGCTGGGTCCCAGAGTCAAGACAGGGGTCACCAAGACGTGACAAGGCCTCCCCGCATGTCAGAGACCATGTGGCAGAAATTTACCATTGAGAAGAGAAGGGCTCTCCCTCTCCCCACTTGGTACTAATCATGGAGAACAATGCTGGCTGCTTTGCAAAATATTAGTACTGCTGTGCAAAATCTGGGCCTCTCCTTATGGCCCGCTGAGTCAGACTTGTTTACTTCATTGAAGTATTAATCTCTGTCTCTGATTGGTAGTCAACAAGTCCGGGCTCCAGGCTTAATAGAGTTTCAAACTGTAGATTATGCAGTTTTGCTGAAAATACAAGGCTTCTATCACACTTTGAATGATGTATTCTCCCTCACTCTCCCCTTTGATCTTTTTTTCAGGGCTGAGGTTAAGATAGATAATTAATTGTTCCCATCCCAAGCCTTGTCTTTTAGTTTAAAAACTTACTTTAGCATCTGCCAGAATCTTCTGCATGCACTCCTGAGAGGTTAAGCAATGAAAGAGCCATTAAATTAACTTCAGCCATTAATTTTTTTCAGTAGGATGAAATAGCACTTCAGTATATCAAACAGTTTCTGGTTTATTTTGTTTCGTATCATGACAAAGAAACAGAAATGTGGGAAGAAGAGGCTGGTTTTCTGGTTGTATGAAAGGATGATGAGTGAGGAGGCCTGTCTTCTGGTCCTGTGGCTTACCTCTGTGTTACCAAGAAGTAGGCCACAAGGAGTGGATCAGTGGGGTGAAACATCTGTTGCCAAGGGCTTGATGTCCACACTACGCAATTGGGAAGGTAGTGGGGAAGGGTTTAGCTATACTTAGCTAGTACATCACTTTCCTCAGAAATACTTTGCTATTGCCTATAAAGCCTTTTCTGAGAAAGAAGCAGTGTCAAGCTCTGCTATGCTGTCCTTTGATGTGTTGTGAGGTCCATAAATGCTATCACTGGTGAGTCACTCGTGGCCGGGACTCTGATCACTCTCCTGCTAAGCAGTCTGCCCCATTCTCCATGCTATGTACTTCCCACTCCAAGAAACCCTTATGCTCTTTTCACAGGCATAACTTCCCCATTTGGAAAACTGTGTACCTTATGTTTTTCTAAGAAATAAATGAAAACAAATTAGTACAAAATCTCCTGGAATGGTATTTCTGGCACACTGCACGTATACCTGCTGAAAAGTCCCAAACAGTAGCAGCAGGATTGAGCTTATGTGTCAGGAATACAGCAAAGGAAAAGTGGTCGGTCTTGGAGTGTCTTGATTAGCGATTCCATGCAGAATGTATGGTGGTTTATAGTGCACCAGCCTAGTGAGGCTGAAATGTCACTGCTGCATTGAAAGTTCATATGCCTTCTGCGTTCCTAGTTGTTCTAATTCTGTATGCAAGTCTCACTGTTCTTGAAGATCCTCAGTCTTTTGCAATTGTATCGTATAGGTGTCAATTCACAGACTTGACAACCTTCCTTCTTTTGGCAATAGACTGTTTCTTTTGGTGCCAATATATGGCCCTACTGGGTTTCAGGACAGATGGTAGTTGGAGCTGCTGAATATCATGAAGTTCTGGAGAAACTCAAAGATGTGTTTATGCATCAATCCTCTTTTGCATGCGCTCAAAGCCCGGTGCTACACCTCTGTTGGATTACCTGTGTGCATGATGGATGGACTATACATAGAGGAAGAGTTTTCCTGGGCCACAGTTGATTTGCAGTGCATCATTTACAGATCGATTATATACACGTACTGGGCAGGGTGTGTAAGATTTGCCAGTGATATGAGCTGCTCATTGGAATTATTTCTGCTTATGCATTATTTTAGTTAATAATTCTTCCTAAATGATATATATAAAGTAGGTATATATTTCAAACCCTAGAGGAAGTGAGGATCATCTGAATTGATTGTACAAGTCAGTAGAGTAACTATTCTTATCACTTCTGTCTGAATAAATTAAGGATTGAAAAATCCACTTTTTACTCCGTTTCAATTTTGGTGTAGCTGCCCAATACATAATTACTTGGAGAAGAATGTTATTGCCACCATACCAGAATGCTCTATTTTAATAGTGCGGAGATAATTTAAAAATCTTGGTGTATGCTTGGGATTCATGTCATTCATCTAAGCATAAGCACTGAACATTAGTTGTTCTAGGTGCCTCTGTAGTTAGTAGAAAAGCATCTCTCAAAGGAGACTCCTCCCATCCTAAGCTATGTCTCCAAAATTATTTGTGCAAATAGCCCCCGACCATTGACTATATCTCTGTAGGGTGCCAGAACAATTCATTCAGGTGGGTTAAGTCGGCTGCAGATGGTGAAAGTTGTGAAATCAGATGTGATGAAATTCCAGACTCTTTGCAGACTGTGAGCATTATGCTCGATGATTGACCTATTCAGCATGATTCCCCTTATTTAAAAAATTATTTCATGTTATTATTTTTCCACTCTGTAGGTAACTGCTTTAACAAAAGCTATGGAGAGAGTTCAGCTTTAGATACTGCTCAGCAAGTCGTTCACTTCTGTTGTCTTACACATATTATTTTTGTCGTCTTTAGTCTTCTGGTACCAGTATCACAGTGGATATCGCTGTTATGGGAGAAGCACATGGGCTCATTACAGACCTTCTGGCAGATCCTTCACTGCCCCCAAATGTGTGTACTTCGCTGAGAACAGTGAGCAACCTGCTTAATACACAGTTAACCTTCCAAGCCATCCACAAGCCAAGGGTAAACCCTTTGGTGTCCTTCAGTGAGAACTACACCTGCTCCGACTCAGAGGAATGTCCGGAGAAAGGAGAGAAACTAGCTATTCCAAAGGTGGGTACTGAACCCTGTCTGTCATCTTGTAACTTGGTTCTCCCTAAAGGGACAGCACTGGACTAGTGGGAGGTGTCACTGGAGTTTTTGCTTGCTTGCTTCAGATTAACGTCTTATGCACTGATCATACTCTACTATAAAAGGTCAGCTAAGTAGACTGTTTAAGTCTACTTAAGTAAGACAATTCCTGTGTATCCTTCAGCTCATGGTCAGGTTAACTTTGGTTCAGGCGTCTTTAGAAGGTGATTGACACAGGATAGCTCACATAGATGGTGTGCGTATTTTGACACAGGTGTTGGTTGGAACTTGAGAGAAGAAATGATAAGGAGCAGAGCAAGCAAAAGCCTTTAAGCATCCAGACTCACAAGTCTTCCCCATTACTTCTCACACAGAAATTCCTTTCCGACTCAAAAGATTTGAGCCACTGCATGTGGGGTGACTATCCTAGTCAATGACCAATGGGGAATTAAGTAGTAATATAAGGGACCTTTTTGACCACTTTGAAGACTGGAATTTGAAATTCTGTATGAATTTCAGTCTCTTCTTCCTTCTCTTAGGTAGAGGTGTGAAACCTGTAGAAGTCAATGAAAAAGTGTATATTGATGACCTCCAGGTGCTTTGGATCAAGATTAAAATGTTGTATACCAAACAAACAAACAAAAAGATCACCGCAATACTTAGTATGACAAATATTGTGAGCTCATGAGTAGTCTTGAGAAGAAAAAGAAGACTGAACCAAACCAAATAAATAAATACATGATAGATATATATAAAAAAAATTTTACTGCCTTGACAGATGGCTTTATGAATGCTCAGGAATCCGACAGGAAATAAGCAGTGTTAACCACCCACATTTAGTAAGTGAACAACTAGAAAGAACACACCAGCTTTGAAGTAATTTGAATTGTAGGTTCATTACTAATTAGCTGTCCTGCGTGGCTTACATTTCAGTTTTGAAACTAAACCAAAATACTTTTGTACTGCAATCTCCCTTGTAAAATTAAATATAGGTAGAGTACGTTGCACAGACGAATGCTTTTAACAGTTCAGTCAGCACAGCCAGCATTCATTCCAGCATTTCCTGGAATCTGTATTGCAACACTTGTGATTCTTTTTATAATATATTTTGGTGTGATGATAATTATTACCCTATTTGCCTACGTAGCAGCTGTGTATATGAAATGGATGTTCACAGGTTTTTAAGTGCATTTTCCAGTTTATTTTAGTGTACATGTCTATAATGGCTGTACTCTAGGCTCTGAGGGGAATAGTTAAGTGGAAGAACACTGCCATCACATGAGCAAACATAGTGAACAGATACCAGTTTGCTGTTACATAATACCTAGTGAGCAGAAGAGAAATGAAGGATGAAGAAATGACTTAATGCTACAGAGAACTAATTTGACTGAAGAATTCACTGACCTAAATGTATTACGGTTCATAAAACTAATAGTTTGCAGCCCTTTATTTAAGTGTCTAAATATAGATTTAGTGTCTTTACCTTAAGTATCTGACATTAAGCATTTTGGGTAAGGAGATGGTATGTTAACATATTTATCTGTAAGTCTGAGCTTCAGAACCACAAGTTTCTTCCATCTCATATCTCTTAACCCTCTGGCAAAGTCAAAGCTCTCCATCACAGAGACACCTTTATTCTAGTTCTTAACTGTAAACACTTCATGAGAACTACAAGAGAAATGTCTTACAAAATTACAGCATTTGCAACAGCAAATCTGGGTCTACAAAGACTCTTTGTCATCAACCTTTATTATCTCTGCCTTCAAAAATTAGGAAAACCAATGTGAGTCCTGTTAGTATAGGAAAGGAAGAGTCAAACGAAAGAAAAATACAGGGTCGTCAAGAAAAATCTGCTGTAAACAGTGTCGCTAAGCTTTTCAGGAGACATCATATCCCAGAGCATGAAAGTTTTATTTCAGTGTGTGATCTTTGGATTGGGTAGATATAGCAGGAAAAAAAGTTGGAGCTCCCCTCCCTTGTTTTTCTTACAGCTTTTCTTCCCTTGAATCTCTGATTCTGAGCATTCACAACAGTTTAAATCACAGAATAGTTAAGGTTGCAAGTACATCTGGAGACCATCTAGTCCAGTCTGGAGATCATCTAGTCCAGTCAAACAAGTTAAGCCTGGAGCAGGTTTCTCTGGGCTCAACTGAAAGTTGGTTGCTCAGGAGGATGTCCAGTTGGATTTTGAGTATCTCCATGGATGTAGACTCCACAGCCTCTCTGGGCAACCTCCTTCAGTGTTCAGTCATCCTCACAGTAAAAAGTTTTTCTTACATTTAAGTGAAATTTCTTATATTTCAATTTGTGCCCCATTGCCTCTTGTCTTGTCACTGGACCCTGCTGGAAAGACCCTGGCTCCATCTTCTTTACACCGTCCCCTCAGGTTTTTATATACATTGGTAAGATCTTCGCTGAGCCTTCTTTTCTTCAGGCTGAGCAATCCTAGTTCTCTCTCCTTTCCTTTTGTGACAGATGCTCCAATCCCTCAGTCACCTTTGTGGCCCTGATGACTTGTTTAAGTGCTTTTGGCACATCGTATAACTCCAAAATTTTTGAAGGGCGCAACCAACATTGGCTGACTCCAGTGGGAGCTCCAAGTGTTGAACATCTGTGGCTATGAGGCTGTGGATATATACCTTTTTTTTAAAAACTTGAAATAAGGAGGGTGGTCCAGACCCTCCAAGCATTTAAAGCACCAGCTGTGTTGATTTGAATAGAAGGTAAGCACCATAATAACCTGGGAGAATTCAGATTTAAGGTACCTCACAGGTGTTGTCAGGCAGAATTAATCAAATGGAAATATTTTTCTTCTGCGTGTTTGAAGTTTTTCTAAGCCTATATAAACAAAGCAACTGATTTCTCTCTAGCGCTTACGGAGAAGTTTGCCTCCAGGACTGCTGAGACGAGTGTCCTCAACTTGGACCACAACAACATCAGCCACAGGATTACCTACACTAGAGCCAGCTCCAGTGAGAAGGGATCGCAGTGCCAGCATCAAACCTCATGAATCATCTTCATCCAGGTTACAGATTATCTCCTCTCTCTTTCATGTCTCTCTTTGGTCAAATTTCTTCGGTTCTGGGTGTTGATGTCTGTCATTTAAAAACGCTGACTCCAAAGTGTGTTAGAACTGCTTCTTCATGTTTCTTTAATTGGGTTGCCAAAGAAGTAGCATTCCTAGTTTTAGTGAGACTATGCCAAAACTATTCTATTATTGGGAAGGGAAAAATAAATTAAAAAAAAAAAAGAAAATATATTTATGCTAGCGAAGTGGCAAAGTGCAGAATCGCACAGTAAAATTGGAAACAAGGCAAGATACCTGGTTAAAGTCTTGTTGATATGCAGTGGATATCTCCATGGGTATTGCCCAGCCAAGAAAAAATCCTAACAAGTAACCCAGCTGCTGGACATCACTTCTAAGAACACACCTGCTGATCTGGTCCTGTTATTAAAACAGTTCATAAAGCACTTCTCCATTTTCTAGGTACTAACTTCCAGAACACAAACCCTGATTTTAAGTGGACCCTCCTAAAACACACAATTTTGTGGTTTTCTGTCCATAGAAATGGAGTATCATCAGACCACACAGCACTGTACATACCCTGCATCCCATGTACAGCACTTAATTCCAGAATATAAGAAGTGCTTAGGGCTCCCTCAATGAACTCAAGAAAATGCAATACCAGCAATAGATGGCAAATAAAAAACATTTGAGTTAGGTGAGTTAAGAAGTGGTTTAGTGGAGAGAAGTGAATTTGTTACCATTGGGGGAAAAAAAAAAGGGTATAATCTAGGAATTACAAAGGAAGTTTTGCTAGTAGAGGTTGAAAGCAAAGCAAATTAAATGGGCAGTGTAAAGTTTTCTTGCAGTTGCTTTACTCTCTCTTATTTTAAGCACTGCAGTGGAACACTTCTTTCCTGTTGACCACAGAGTTTAGCTTCTGGGATTCAGAATCTCAGCTGTTCCATCCTTAATCCCAGCTGTCTCATCTAGTTAAAAGGCTTTTCCTAATTGGCCACAAGAAGCAATTACACACAGCTGGTTTGGGGTGCAGACCGAGTACCAGCTTCTATTCATGATGTATTTATTTACGTACTTATTTAAGATGTCCCATGTTTTCAAGGGTTCTGTAAGCAGGTGCTGGTACTGGAAGAGTCACAACTAAAAGCAATAATTAATAAAGCCTTGAAATGAATTTCAGCAAAATCACAGGAGGAATTTTACATTATTTGTTTGTCTTGACTGGAAAAAGAGTTCTGGATTCAGTCATGACACATACACTTTAAGGTTATGTTCATATAGTGCGTTGCAGAGAGAGATCACTAGACCTGCAAAGAGGTTTGCATAGGCAGAGGTATTGACCTACTCTATTTTGTGCCCAATCCAAAATTTATTTCCAGTTTCCTAAAGCACACACTTTCAGAGTTACCCAGAAGCTCACTAGTTCTCACTGTTCTGAAGAGAACGGTTTTTATCTCATGGCTATAGTCCGTCATGACTGACTGTATCAGTTAGGTACTCCCTGCTCACTCTTACCCGTTCTCTTTTTCTCAGGGCCTGATCCCTGACCCAGCATCATAAAATATATGATCCTCCCATGAAACGGAGAGAGAGAAGTTGTGTCCACTCAGCTGCTTACAGCCAGTAGCTGACTGGTTTAGGGCATTTGCAGAGGACTACCCTAATAAAGTTGCTTCTCTTCCTGAGGGCATTTAGACCTAGGTACCTTGTATTTTGGGACTACCGTGCTACCAAATAGCCTGAGGTGCATTTAACTCTCCACAAGGGCTGCAGCAGATAATCCAGTGGCAGCCAGTGAAGGAAGGGGATGAATGGATGTTACTCTTGTGGGAAGGGTGCTCATCTGTGAGAAGAGAGGCTTGGGTCACAAGCGCTGTTAAGTGTGATATGTTGCTTAGCTATTTCAACAGGATTTCGTCCTTTCTGGCTCCATGAATATTTTTCTGTTCTAGTCAGAAAGGAGCAGAGCCATCAAAGGAGGGGCGGAGGGCAGTCAGCCTTGCAGCCTGGTAGTTATAGTGCCACACTGTGAGAATAAAGTTTGGGTCCCCTCCCCACCTCAGCAAGGGCTATCATCTTGGAGCTGGTGGATGA